AAGAAGGCGAAATCGCCGGAACGTTAGCCGACGAGATCATTGTCAACCTCGTGTGCTGTTAAGTAAAATAAATCCATACTAAAACTATAAAACTATGCCGAGGTTCATCTGGCAACTATCACTTTTTGTTTGAATGTAAGTTCCTCCTGTGTTTATCAATGCACCATTTTTTGCTCAGTCTTTGGGTTATAGAATTCTGTGATAGAAAATGCTAATACACTGACCGAGTTTCCTGAACACCTGGTCCCTTGAACGGCGCGCGGGAACAGGGAACCATACCCATACCCCTCAAACGTTTTCACGGTTCACGAGTCGCAAGTCTTCTTGGGTTCACGAGAGGCATTAGAGCCAAATTTGAGGGTTCATATGAAAAAAATGCAGTAAGTATGAATTTACGTCTAATTGGCGAGGACATCGGGAAACTCCTCGTTCACAGAAATTGCACCTTTGTCCAGTTTTCTTCAGATCTCCCTACCACGGCCCAATGCTGAAACGAGATCCTGATCTGCTACTCGTCAATCTGTTTTCCGCTCCTTCGATACCGCTCATTGCTCGGGTACTGTTTGCGACGAACCTCTTACTGTTCCTCGATTGATCTCGATTTGCCCCCTTTTGCTGATCGCATCCGCCTCATCGGCTTCCATTGTGTCGTCCCCTACCCTCCTCCGATCTCATCAAAATCGTACTGTAGCCGTTTTCCTGGAACGATCGTGGCCCCATTTCAAACAGCTCCTTCTTACGTGTTTCTTCTCCCTTACCTGGTCCGGTAGGTGCACTTCCAAGCCACGTTCATGCGATCTGCTACTGAGATACGATTCGTTGTTCTTGAATGTTCGCCATTATCTCATCTAATAGCCGTTTCAGGGAATGAAGAGGGATATGCCGCTAGATGAGCCTCAGAAAAAGGATGCCAGATGTTTCGGTAGAACGGTTCACTTACAGGTCAGTTATTCTACAATTTTACCCAAATAAATACCTACCTAAATATGATAGGGTGTCTCGAAAAATCAGCTAGAAGGTTTTTTACAATATTTCTTATTTTCTTCACGATTGGCTATACATCGAATTATGCTTCAAAGCTTATACATAACATAACAAAACCATTTGGTGGCTGATAATCTAATAATCAAGAGAAATCTAATCAATAAATCAATAACTATGTAATCTGGGTAAAATCCTCCCAGCCTTCATTGTGTATTTTGAGCCTTTAGAACCACAAGTCCAATATCGACTTTCCTCTTGAACTTGGCATGAAAGTTTGAAATCAGTAATTGCTAGAGTCTCTCCAAAATGTAGTAGCCCTTTACGGCCCTTGACTAAGGCTTCGTTTTCGGCCCTCTCGCCTTCGTCAGAGGACTGTGTAACCCTAAGGCCGCTACCCTTACAGGCCCATACACCTGCCTTTACTTTGAGCCTTGAGCTCTAGCTCTTTCATTATGCCCCTCCATACTCCAATGATGATTTCAGGCTGGTATGCGGATTGCGGTCTGCATCGGTACACTGGTCATTCTCGCTCTGGTCGTGTTGCTCTACATGAAATTTAAGAAGGCCATGTTTGTGCTGTTGATCCCGAGCACCCGTCACCGCCACTACCGTATTCGCTATCGTCGCCAGAAGGCATCACTTTGTCTGGCCTATCGTAGCCATTTCGGTCAGTCCAACCTCACAACTCAGTTTTCCAACGAGCCATTTTCTCATTGAATCTCTGCGTTTTCAGTTCTTTCCATGTGATTCTCGCATGCTATGCTCTGCTCATCTTCTCGTTCTACTTCTTCTTCAAGCCCCTGTACATCATCATGGTGCTCAATTGGGCATTTGACAGTAAGTTTTTGACCTGCCTTTTGGTTTTTGTGAGAATAAAGACATGATGTGAGCGGAGACGGGCAAGAGACAGATAGTGCGCGCTGCCCCAAAAGTGATTAAAACCTGCTCAGACCAAACGAAAGCCGGCATTTTTTCGGACAGACTCCGTTCTAATTGTTTAGGAATAAGACTCCCTTTTGAAACAACAAAACACCAACTTACCCTTTTCGCTTATTGCATAACTACGGAAAGCATTTTGCCAATTTAACTTTCGTTCAAAGGTGAAGGGTTGAAATAACTCCTTGTTTCCATCCTATTTTAGCCCTTTCAATATTTTTTTTTTTTTGAAATTTCAAGCGCCGTCCTTTCAAACAACATAATCTTCGGTGACTGTCGCTGTTTCGCGTCATTCACTGCACCGAAAAACGCTCGCATTTAGTCTCCGCTAAAAGGGTTCATAAGATAGTGGAATCCATGCGGCAGCCGAGGGGCAAGGCCTGTGTCAATCCAAAGGCCTCGAGGATGGCGCCACACATTACGATTTCCTTCCAGGAATTTTCCCTTGAACTTGCTTGAATGTTCATGTACAGTGAACCTTCCATTCCTGCCGATTCTCAAAACATGCCAAAATTTCTAGTAGTAAGATAGATTTCAGCTGATTGTTTCTAGGGCTAAGAGGCTTGGCCAGCCTCTGTGCCTAGTTCGACCCACGACTCGTGAAGGTGTGCCATCTTTTGACTACTCTTTCGGCTTTCATGTCAGAGAGGGATTCCCCTTGGTTACCAACAAAAGGTACAGAAAAACAGCCAAATCTCTTATTTGCTTTTCCGATGCTGAAAAAATGGAAGAAAGGATCACTTGTATTGACCAGTCGAATAATTTAAAACAAAAATTTAATAAACTAGGAAAGGTCTTTCAGGGCGTGACAAGCTTTTTGAAAACGGTCTTTTGCATGATATAGGGGCAGATGCGGGAACCACAGAACCATGTTCAATTTTTCCTGAACGGCCCTCTGAATACCAGAAAAGGAGGTCCCTAGTTCGATTCCTCGTGGTAACAAATTTTTGCATTTCGAGTTGACGTGCCAAAATTCGCGCAAAATGGAGTTAGAACCAACCAGAACAATCAGAACTCCATTTTGCGCGAATTTTGGAACGTCAACTCGAAATGCAAAAATTTGTCACCAAGAGGAATCGAACTAGGGACCCCCTTTTCTGGTATTCAGAGGGCCGTTCAGGAAAAATTAAACATGGTTCTGTGGTCCCCGCATCTGCCCCTATATCATGCAAAAGACCGTTTTCAAAAAGCTCGTCACGCCCTGAAAGACCTTCCTGGTAAGGAAGAAGCAAAGCAACAAACCGCCCACCAGTTCATTCTCTCTGAAAGAGTTTCTCGACATCTTCTTATCAGAAGTTTCTTCTGACAGCTGTATTGTCGTTAGGGGGTATGCGTTGAACTGAGTGTGCCACCTACAGGACTTTGACTAAAGCCTAGGGAGGGGAATGGATTCCGTGGGAGGATTTGAGCCACTTGTTCTCTCCCAAGCGTTTTCCCCTCTAATGGGTTCACCACAGTCCAGTGTCACTTACCATAGGCCCTGTTTCGAATGTCCCCCCCCCCACAAGGCCATGGGCGCCCTCAATAATTCTTTTGAGCACTCCATCAGTGCAAAACACTCCATCAAAGCAGTAAAAAGGATCAAAGCTACGAAGAAATGTGCAAATGCACGAACGACCGTATACGAGCGATTTTGCGAGAAATACCCCGCTTGCTTTTGATGGCCCGCTTGTGCCCAGTTCTTAATCCTGTCGGCGTCTAATTAAGGCTTGTAAGGCAATTTCGTACAGTTGGGACGGTGGGTTGTGCGGGTTTTTTCTGGTCTATTTGAAACTTGTCCGAAGAAACCCGATTAGACGCTTCGGCGTTGACTCATCTTGTAATAACTTTTGATCCTTGGCTTCAAACTGGAACCTCCCTCCGTTCTTTTCGCATTTCGGACACACAATAGCCTTGCCGACGGGTTCGTGAAACAGGCGCCGTCGTGATTGGCGTCGGAGATTAGTCAAACAGCTCCTGTGTTCCAATAATTGGACTCCGTTAGATGGAATCAGGGCTATGTGGGGGTGGATTTGGGATTATTATTATAGCGATGATAATAATTTCAGTGAGGTCTGTTGAGCCGCAACCAAGGTATTACCAACCTTAACCAAGGTATTGCCAACCTTTTTTCGGTTAAAATTTCGACCTTATCGCCTTCGCCGGAGCCTGGTAAGTCAAAGATAAGTGCGATTTACCTCCCAAGCACCAAGTGGCTCAACAAACCTTACCTCACAATGCCTAGATTTACCGAGATTCGGACGTGGACACTACAGTAATAATCCCATCCTTCCTCACATAGCGCTGATCTCTGGGTATGTATCGAGGCGGTCATGCACCAAAGCCACAGATGCAGTTTTTTCGGAGTTTCTCCAATTGTTCTCTTTCTGCGAAATTCGATTACGAGACTGAAAGCAAAAAAAGTCAAGAGATCGGATCGGTTTCTCCTCGTACGTCTATCGATTCTTCCATCCCGTTCATCTTGCAACTCATACGCTCTAATCGGCTAAGATTTCGCCTTAACACACTGAAAACAGCTATGGTAGATTTACCATCAAAGCTGAGTTGGGGTGAAATGGTGCCCCGGTGGTGTAACTGGTAGCACAATTGCCCGGAAAGCAAGAGATCCGGGTACGAATCCCGGCTGGGTTTTGCCCACAACTCAGCATTCTTGAGGAAACACTGAAAACATTCTGAAATCAAGCGCTTGTACGAAGCCAATTTGCCCTTCAAAAAAGAGCTGATCGGATTGATTGACTTCGGAAAAAACTAGACGATGTCATGCAGATTTAGGTAAAAATGGAAAAAATCCTCGAAAGGAAAAAGGAAAGGTTTCTTCGAAAAGTCCTTCTATGAGATGTGAAGAATAGACTTGAATACACGCGGTACTTAGGCGTAGCTGCCCTCTGGCTGTGCCGTGCACTCGTCTTTCATTCGAAATCGTGACTGCATTGTACTTGACCTAAGGAAGAACGCATAAGCGGTGTGAGGACAAAACTGAGAAGCCGAGTTGAGTGGTTCCTTTCTGCTCTGTCAGGAGATACTGTTACTAATGCCATGGAAAAACTAACGCACCAAAAATAATAACCAAATGAAAAAAGCTGAGTTGGGGTAAAGCGGTGCCCCGGTGGAGTAACTGGTAGCACAACTGCCCGGAAAGCAAGAGATCCGGGTACGAATCCCGGCTCG